CACATATATGCAAAAACGCATAATGATTCGCAGAGGAAAAAGATAATCCATTAGTAAGCTTATTGATAAAGAAGGTACTTATTTGCTTACAAAAATTTCTGGGCAGAGAGACATTTTTCAGGTACACATCAGGAACTGATGGAAGAAAAAGGCTTGTATTACGAGATGAATCAATCAGAAATCTAATAACTTAATGTTTTTCTTTTTAATTTTTGCAGGATTCGTTATTCAGTGCCATAATTATGTTACGTGTGCCGTTGTTTCTTTTTTTTTATTTACAAAAGGTGCCGTTTTAAAATTATAAGATGACCGATGTCACCTGGACAGTCAGTTTAGGTACCTCATGTTAGTGATATTGCTGGGATGCTCTTACTCGCCGAGCGCAGCTGTGCCAAGCCCTCTGACCCTGGAATGCATACATTCAGTTAGTGCCAAACGCTTTTGATGTTTTGAAAAACTTTTGCAAAACGATGAAGTGAAAGATGCAGGTTATCACCGTTTTCAACAAAAACAAAAGATAATTTCAGATGCACTGTGGATGATAGGGGAAGAATAGAAACAGAGAATGGTTGCCTTGCTGAGCTTTCGATCTTGTCTTACACACGTACTTTCGATCTTGTCTTACACACCTCCAGCTAAAGCCTGTTCGACGCGCGTGTGTGTGTGTGCCACTTCGTTTTGTATTTCATTCTTTACGTGAAGCTTGAAACTGCTTGTGGATGGAGGATACACTGCTGCCTCCCGGGTGATGGCATGGCTTCTTTGACTTTGGTTTCATCCCAGAATCATCTTGATACACTGTTTCGTAATTGCTTCTGCAGTAGCATGCGAAGTAGTTTCATAAAGCAATTTTTTCTGACGTCTTCGAATAATAATTTTCACGTGCACGCGTATACTTTGCATACTTCTGTATATGCATGCATGTGTATATGTGTGTACAGGTGTGTGTATCTTGTGTGGCTGCCCTACGGCTGGCGAGTATCAGTTGGAGGCATCCAAGTGAAGGCAGATGGATTCTGCTCATCTGCGTTTATGGTTTTGAAACAATAGTATGACAGTGAGTCGCTGATATTCAGGACCATTTCCTGAACGGATTGTAGTGGCATGTTGTTAGTTGCAAGCAAAGAGATTTATCGTGTTACAGGAGACAGTTTTCCAAACTAGAGCAAATTACGACGCGAAGAATTTTAACTGAAAAATCAGAAAGATTCAGAAGCAAGGAAAAAAATCAGATGGGTTGGTTCTCGTATCTCTGGCAGACAACGCCGGTTTTCCCCGTCCAGTGCTGGAGACAGCCAGCATCGTCCCATTGAAACGTGCCAACGTAATTCACGATTGCACATGCAACATCAGCACCACAGCAGCCATCAGGCTCCGATCCTCTCCAGTTCTTGAACGTGAGTGGGCCGTATCCAAATGGCTGGCCGTATCCCAGCGCTTTAGCTGTATCCTGATTTGTAGACGGCGCCCTCCACTCGCCGAACATTTTGTGAATACCAATCCAGAATGGTCCTGCATTCGCTGCACTGCCGTTCGTGAATAGATCTGTAAAATGTAAAAAATGTTCGGAATCTCTTTCTCGAATCGTTCAAGTGGAGAACGAACAATCGTGAATTTGTGCAATCGGGTCGAGTCCCGCCTTACCAAGCCGTGCCATATTTTAGCGGTTGTTGGTTTACAGCGGCCAGTTTACGGCAATTACAATAATTCGGCTCGGCTCGTCTCATACACAAGCCGTAAAAAATTTTTTCTTCGGACGGCAGATAGGGCTGACTTGCGGTAGATGTCGGCTGTCTGAATGGGGCAGATGGAAGTGGGGGTGGCATGTAGCGGGTTTCGTTCGAGGCGAGGGAGGGGGCTAGAACAGGTGGATATAAGGATTAAATGGCATAGATCCTTTGCCGATTGACTAACGTACATTTGAGGAGGAAGGGGAGCGGCGAAGAACGGAAAGGATGAAGAAGTGGGCTCTTGGAACTTCCTTTTTATGCGTTTTTGCCGTGCAGCGCTAGAGCGCTGCAACAGGCAGCAAAAACGCATAT